TTCAAATATAAAGTGGAATGGAAGGAAAACATCAGTGCATCAGCCCCTAGGTTATCTGCTCAGTCACCAGGAATTAAAAGTATATTTTGCAAGCTGTTATTGTTAGTCCTCTAAGTGCACTGAAGGTATGTAGCTGTGCCTGCAGGCTAGTGGACAGAAACAGAGGATTTAATTCCAACTTCTCTTCACCTGCTTTACTGAAGTGGTCTAGCAGCTCTTGAAACACTAGCATGAGCTCCAACAATAACGATGTGGTTTAGTAAGTATAATGACAACATCTGTAAGATATTAAGGGCCAAAACTCAGGTTTTCTTGCATATTCCTAAAGGTTTAAAAAAAAAAAAAAAAAAGAAAAAGAAAAAAATATACTTTGTGAAATACTTTTTTCAGTTGAGCATTTAAAGGACAGTTTGCAGCCAGGCATTTCCTAGAATCACAGAATCATTTATGTTGGAAAAGACCTCTAAGACCATTGAGTCCAACCTTTAACCTAACACTGCCAGGTCCAGCACTAAACCATGTCTATAGCACCACATCTCCACTGTTTTTGAACAAGTCTAAGGACAGTGCTTCCACCATTCCCCTGGGCAGCAATGTCTGATCACCCTTTCAGTGAAGAAATTTTTCCTAGTATCCAACCTAAGCCTCTTTTGACACAATGTGAGGGCTTTTCCTCTTGTCCTGTCACTTGTTACCTTGGAGAAGGGATCAGCCTTCTACACCTGGCTACAACCTCCTTTCAGGTTCCTACCACAATTGCAATAAAAAGAATTACATTTATTATGTAGATGGCATGGAATGTCTAGAAACTATGGCAAAATAAAAGGACTGAAGCTGGTGGAGTCATCAGCAGTGGCCTCTGTGCCCTGTGCTTCCAGTCCCTCTCCATCCAGGAGGGCAGGGATGGAATAAACTGCCATGGTCACACCTGAATGCAAATTGCCATTCTCTCCTGCTGTACTGATGTTCCAAATTAGCATTACACACTGGCAATAGAGTTAAATATTTTAGATCTGCACCTAACTCCTTCGAGGCACATAAGGAGGGGACAATTTGGCTCTTGTACCAGAATGTAACCCTCCTGCCTTTCAGGGCAGAAAGACCATGCTCCAAAACGGGGAAATGCTGATCAACAAGTTTTGCATGTCATTATTTTTGTCTCAGAGTACTTTCCAACCTGTTGGTTTTTTTTTTTTTTTTTTTTTCCTTTTCCATGCTGAAAACCAGGCCACTCCTCAGGAAGAAATAAAAGAAATAATGTTTCTATTTGAGACAGAAAACACTTCAGGGAATTATGTGGTTTTCTAGACGTACACAAACCAGAGCGTCTTCTGTCTGAGAATTTTCAAAGTAAGCACCAGATTCCTCCTCCCCACTGTGGATGCTTTACAGTGCCCAAGTGGCAACATCTAAAAGGAAATGTGGGTTACTATAGTACATTTTCCTGAGCTTTCTAAAATCAGAGTCTGCAATGTTACCTAGCACAGAATATAGCTTGCCTGTTTAACACACTGCTACAGTGACAGAAACATTGCTTTCAAGGTGTTCATTTAGAATATTGATCCCAAAATAAAAGACTCGTGTTTAAGTCTTCTTACTGCAACCCTTTCAAAACACTTCCGTGAACTTTTTATACTCCAGCTTTGATCAAATATGTCCCACATATTTAACATAGTAATCAGGTACTAAATTTCCTAAATCAGGCAGTTTGAGGGCACAGTGGTGTGTATTTGCTACCTAAACGCTAATTTTTTTTTACCACAGTAAAGAATCTATGTCTTAACTCTATTTTGTCATCATTATTAAATATTCAGTAATTCTGCCACAGAGGCCACCTAAACATTATGAGTTTCATTGCTGTAGAAGCTGCTAAAGGAAAACCAGCAAACATCCACAGACATTTTCCTGGTCCTTTGACTGTCATGGAAACAGTGGTGGAGTTATTTGCACAGCCACAGCATCACTGAGCCTGTGTGTTGACATGAGCAATAGAAAGGATGGACTGGGCATGGAGTGCTGGGAATAAATGGATCTTTGATACTGCCACAAGTTTCCACCCAGCCCAGCTCTTCCTGGAAAACTCCAGCAGAGAGAGAAGATGACAATCTCAGCACACAACAGGCTGTGTCACAGAAAAGTGTTTGCTGCTCAATGGCAATAGAGAGATTCTTGGCTAGCAAGAGTTTTGCTCTACATTTAGGAAGAGAATTCTACATTTAGGAAGGTGGGAGATTGAGGAAAGGAGACTATTATGGGATGACAGCCAGGTTGTGCTGTGATAGCAGGGAGTGCTGCCTGCTGCAAGGCTCATTACAAACGCTTTGAATTCGCCAGCACCACAACCCCAGTCACTCCAGCTAAGCAGAACTTTGCTCTAAATGGACAAAACAACGCTCAAAAATAAATGAATCAGCATAAGACATGCAGACCTTAGCACTTGAGCCTTTCCAAACCTAGATCTCTGTTTTGGCACAGATCCCTCTGACAAGGCACTAAGCAGCAAACCATCCGTGCAAGTCAGGTACAAGTCCCAGCAAAGCAATAATATCATTGTCAAAGATCATGGAGCAATTTTTGAAGATGAAACTACCCAAAATAAATATTTTCTTGTAGCAGCTTCACTGGTAGTCAACATGTGAAATTCAATTTTATAGTCATAATAGATTTGTGTATATTAACAGTTAAGAGGGTTTTACAGGCATCATCTCTTGAAGTTCTCTATTCTACTCTTGCTGTATAGGCCCTGAAGGTTAATAATTTTACTTCCAGGGAACTTGTTTCCATCAAAGAATAAATTACAGAAAACATATTTGTAAAAAAAAACCCAAAAAAAACCCAAAGTATATGTGATGGTTAAAATATTAGCAGGTTAATGATATTTCAGTGTATTTTTAAAGGTTATATTTGCAGATGATTAGTGTAAGAAAAGCATGGATAATTATATACATAAATATCCAGCTGACAATAATGTAGTTATAAATAACAATGTCAGAAAATCCCGTGGCTCAAATGGAGTGAATCTGAAAATCAGCACTCACGCTTTATTTTCTTATATAAAAGAGATGTTGAAACCTTGTACAACATTTTCTTTTACCAAAGCCAAGGTTATCCTAACTTTTCAGGGGGCGTTTCCTGTGTTTTTACTTAGATAATCTTGAAGGAAGCCAAAATACTTAATGGAAATTTTTTGAGAACACCTATATTTTCAAAGTTTATCAAGAATGGTAATCTCTTAATAATTTAAATTCCTTTGTTTCCAGCAGTAAAGAGAAATTTCATTGGTAAAATTGCTGAAAGTTGCCTATTTTATATATATATGTTAAATAATATAAATAACTTCTAGAAACTTTGAGAAAATGACTGTGTAAGAACTTAGAAAAATATTAACTTTATCACAGGTGAGAGGTAGCAACATAATGGATGACAAAAGATTTTGCAAAATGTTTGAAAACCAGTCTCAGTGGTAACTGGTCAAAGGATGTATTTCACTTTTCATTCTGAAAAATAAATTAGGAAATTAATCACATCCTCAGCTTAACTGGAAGTCCTAATAGGCAAAAGCAAGCTAGCCACTTAAAAAAATTGCTTTATACCTTAATGACCATGAAGGAGAACTGGGGGGGAAAAAAAAAAAAAAAAAAGGATTTTTTTTTCCTCTTTAAAGACTAATATAGAAAAATACCAATTTTCAGCATTAAAAATATCTTCTACAACTCCAAATCCTGCACTCTGAATGCACAGACACATGGTAGATTATTCAGTTCTTGGTTTCTGATAGAAAAAGGCATTTTAAAACAAGTCACCCTGAAATGTTTTTAATAACTTGGTTAAAATTTTCATTTGTTCTTTTTGACTAAAAGTTTGTTTCCTGGTATTTCTGATGTCAGTAATGCATTAGCTCTTTAATTAAAACAAACAGCAGAAAAGGAGGTGGCTGGGAAGGATTTATAAGACCTAAAAACCATCTTGCTTAAGATTTAGACACCATTAATACAGGAGATTTATAGTCCACCTTAAACAAAGACAATTTAGCTTTTACTGAGAATATAAATTGAATGTCTTTCTTCTCCAGTGTAGACATCACCTTAATATTTTATACCAAAATCCTACTTAGGCTCCAGCATACATTGAGTCTAAACCAAAGCATCAAAAGCAGGCGAGCTTGATAACCTAAAATCCTGTGCAGGTGTTTTCCCAGTAATGAATAATTGAGTATTCTGATTAATCCTGACTCTTGGAGCCAGTGAGGATTTTATCATCAGTTTTAATTGTAGTACACATTTGAAATTTATAAACACATTAACGAAAGCTGTTTTAATAACAAGGCTGGATATTCAAGAGCATTTTATACAGACTTCTAAAATGAATTTCCTTCCTCTCAGGATAACGGATGGAAAAAGGCTGGTTACTCTCCCAGCTTTGTATACCTACCAAATCGAGCTGCTTTCTAAGTATTTCAGCATTAAAATGTTCCAGACTCTGAATATAATGGCTCTCATCTGTTTCTTCTGGGCTTTTACACCTGCAGCTGAGTTAGAGCACAAACCCAGCAGGAAGGAAAAGTCACTGCCCATGGGTCTGACAGGGTGGTGAGCATTTCCCACTGCCACCCCTCCAGAGAGTGCCAGAAAACCCCCATGGAGGGGGACAGGCACCCAGGTGAGCCCAGGCAGGTCCAGGAGCACCCAGGGGTCAGTGTGGGCTCTGCTGCTTTGGGCCATGCCCTGGCAGGAGATGGTGCCTGCCTGCTGGGGCTTGGGACACACCTTGGAACCCTGGAAACGTCCCACTCCCCCTCCCTTCAGAGCAGGCACAAATAATGAGAAAGAGTGGAGGGACTGGGTTAGATGAGTGCTCAAGGAAGCACAAGTCTTGTGTGCTCAGAAGCCAAGCTAAAAGAAGGGGGAAAATAATTAAATTTCTGGTGGATTAAACTCCCTGTGTGTTCCCATGCCATGGAGCTGAGATGTGTAAGTAGGAGATGTGATAGCAGACTTCACCTTGGAGGACAACATTATCCAGCTGTCACTTTTAGAGATATCTTTCCAAAAGATGAGCCCAGATGTAAAGGCATTTTAACCTGGAAATTAAAGAATTGAGAGAAATTATTCCTCAAAGGAAACTACCCATGTAGTTAATTAGCAATGAGCCTTTCCATGACAGGGTGCTTTTTCATAATTCCACTTCCACTGAACTCAAATGAATTGTATATTAGCTTTTTAAAATGCTCTGAAATGAAGATTTTTTTGACTTAATATAAGTAGGCATAAGAGAATGTAAAGGGGGTTAAAAGTTCAGGAACATACTTGAGACAAATAATTGCATAAAATGTGTCAGTACATTCTCAAGGAGGAGAAAAAGCAATGGTCGTTTATGAATCTTTAATGATTTTACTCCAGGACCAGCTAAGTCTTAATCAAAGTGGGATGCACACTTAGCCTCAGCAAATAAGGCATGAAGATTCAAAAATTCTTTCTGAATACTAATGTGGTCTTATACTTGGATATTTAAGAAACTGAGATTTGAAAAATGTCCAAAGACCTCCAGACCATTTGGAAAAAAAATCATGATGCAATTAAACATTTTAAGTTTCATGTCTTAAGCATAAATATTAACCTATTTACTGAAATTACAGTTACATAAATACATAAATATTAACCTAATTACTGAAAGTCTCTACTAGGCTTTTTTTCTCAAGCAGACTCAGGAATGCTGAATGCCTTTTGGCAAGCACACTCCCTGAAAGCTTTCTGAATATTCTCTTTAGCATCAGAAACTATTTATGTTCTCCTCAGCAAAGAGCACAGCAGGCAATAGTAACACACACACAAACCTTGGCAGGTAGGAAATTCCACCCTCCTGTCTTATGGCAAGAGTGCTGTATGTGAAAATGGTTAAGTACATCCTGGGAATAACAACACAAAAAAAAAAAAAAAAAAAAAAAAAAAAAAAAAAAAAAAAAAAAAAAAAAAAATAAAAAGTGCAAGAAAAATATAAAGCAATTTTGGTTTTCTGACTTTTTTAAAAAAATACTTAATTTACTTCATTTTCTAATCAATACTAAGTCATTGAACTGCAAATGTCACCTAATAGTTTATTAAGGTTTGTAGCTAATTAAGGCTACAGCAAGATTTTGACTTATCTCTGTTAAAATGGCCATTCTCAAAAAATACCCCAGAGTGAGTGCTTCTGTACTCCTGAGCTTTGCTTTCTTTGCTTTCACTGTTGTTACATACATATGCACACCTTGTCTAGACCTGAAATGGGAAGAAATATGAAATCACATCCATTAGAAACATCCTCATCCAAGGTTTGTAAAGTTCTCTGGGGTAGTTTTTCCTTTCAGAAGGAAATTGCTCCACCAGTTGTATGGAAATTCAGTGGTGGTCAAGGGTCACAAGTCAAACCTTTCTTTCAAGACACAAAGTCTGTGCAGAGAAAGACAAAGATATTTAAGAGCAGGCAGTGCAGACCAGCATTTATTTTAATGGGTGAGAAGGGATTGATTTTAATGTGCCAAATGCAGAAATACTCTTACATAATGTATGTTCCCCACAAAAATACCTTTAGCATTTTAATATTTAAAATATATAGAGACGAAAAAACAGTATCCTTGGGAAAAAATAGAGGTATGCCATTATTTTTCATGAGTAAAGTTTGTGCAGTTAATTTTTAGAGGCTAAAGAAGTAGGTGGATAATTCCTTATGAAAGAGGGCACTGTCAGTGAGACTATCCAAAAATCTATTCACTGGTGAATGTGTGCTATATAAATCTATGTAGAGGGCAGCAAACCGAGAGGAAACTTAGTGAAGGTATGATTACCAAAGAAATTAACAGGAAAAACATTTGTTAATTCTTAAAATTTAGAAAATTGATGTTTATCCCTTTAATAAAGAATAAGAATTACCTGTTCCTTCCTGCATGTACACTGAAATTACTTTTCCTTTGAGGAAGAAGGTGGCCATTTTCCTGCCACTCAACTAAAACTAATATGCAGTACTTTCTGCTGTTTAGTACTATGAGTTAGGACTTTAGCCTTCATCCAAATATGTGCTGACTGAATTTTAATTTAAATTCCTCTAATATGCAGTTAGAACTGCTAGCAATCCATCCACTCTGCTTGTTATTTTCTAGGTTTTTAAAAAGTGTTTTCTGAGAACCATTCCTCTGTTAGGATAGTCAGAATAACTCACTTTAGCCGAGATTGCTGCAATGTGGAAAGTGCTAGCCAGCCTTACCCAAGGAGACCTGGCTGCAAATAGAATGTTCTGACATTTGGTGGTGGTATTTCCTTCTCTGGCTTTATGATATAAATCCTAAAAGTATGAAAATCATCAACACTCAGAGAAAACTGGAAAATATTATGTTGTTGAACTTGCCTCTTGCTCCTGGAGGTGGCCCTTTCAAAACAGAGCTGAGCACCTCTGCCAGAGCTCAGTGCCAGCATTGGTGTTGCTCAGTTTGTGCATACACTGAACTCATGGTTTCCACCTCAGCTGACATTTGGCAGAAGTTCTTTCTTGGAAGAAATGAAAGAGAAATCCTTATTTCAATGGACTATCTGAAAAAACAACTTTTGAAACAACAAAAAAGTCTAGGATGGCTTTCTAAAGTTGGCTACTTCTGCTTGTAAAATTCCTAAGGGAAAAGGGTCCCATCAGCTCAAATCAAGTCTTTGACCTTTCCAACTTTTCAAGGACACTGGCTTTGTGAGACACTGCTATTGATTGTGTCTAACAGAAAAGGACAGTACAGATTAGAGGCTAATGAATCCCTTGTTTGATTAAAGAGGTTGGCACCAAATAAGTGATCCTGCAGCCAAGAACAGATTCGTGGTCACTGCTCCCATTGGTTAGAGGAATTCCCAGGGAGACCCAAACTCCAACAGCATTGGTGTATTGCTAGACCTAATGGTTCCCAATTCCAATTTTACAACTGGGACCACAGACAGCACAGATGTATCTATATTTGCTAGGCAGAGAATTTCTCTTGGCAATTATGTTGACATATATTCAAAAAACTTAGATAATTTGATACTTTAAGCAGCAGCTGCCTTCTTTCCTTACCTTTATTGTATCTATTTTATGAAAAATCAGTTTCCCTCTTAGCAAACCCGATATTTTGAGATAATAAGACAAAGTGAATACACAGGACCCTATAAACTCCCCAAATGGTACCATCACATGCTCCTTGCAGTTACTGTTTCAAGATATATCAACTCCTTAACTGCTCACTTTTAAAAGTTTTCATAAGTATTTTCTCCAGATATGCAATTCTGCTCAAAATCTCAGTAGAAAAAGCATAAGAAGAGGTCAATCTGTGGCTCTCTACTGGAGATTTTATTTTCTGTCCCTACACAAATACTGTGAGTTTAGATCTTAGAGTAGGTATCAATTATTTAAGAAGGTGGTGCAGAAAGCAAGCACAGTTTTTCATGACAAATGACACCATCAACAGCGTTCCATAATCCAGCAGGCAGCATTTTCATTTTTCAGAGGACAAAGAGAAGAATGACTAATGCATCAATTTCAGTGCTGTTCCTTTGCACTTTTTGAAAAGCACCTTACTACCCAGGACCACCCTTAATTTACCATCTTTTGAAGACAGAAAATGTAATGAAAACATCCATCTCTGGTTTCTGCTAGCCTGTATTATTAAACATCAAAGTAATAGTTATTCTCCACCCACTCATCAATCATGCCCTTATCCATGCATATTCTTATGCTCTTCTGACACGTTATTTAAACAACCTAAAATGGACATTTCTGCCTAAAGAAATTTTTACTACTGCAGAAGTGGAAACTGACTGAATTCTGTGAAGTCAAGATGTACAGTCTTTCTCTTATGCTGATGATCCAGACCTTTAGATTTTAATTCCTTAGTGCTGTTAAGGAGTTTAGAATTCCTGGAATTTAGAATTACATTCATCACAACATGCTAAGTCCCAAATTCTACAGTAAGAGATTTTGAGGAGACACATCACCATGCACTTCAGGAGAATTAAGGTGTTTGTACTATCCTGAGAATTTCCCATTCTTTTTTATAGTTCAATAAACAAATTTTCTTTCACCCACCTGTAACACTTGGAACCAACTTGTGTTCACCATGCCCATTCTCTGGAGGACACAAAACACCTGACCTGATCCAAAAGCCACCTGACTCCATGAGTGCAGCACAGAGCCCACACAAATGTACTTGCTTCTCTCTGCAGGATTTACGAACTCACAGGTGTCAGTGGTACAGTGACAGAGCTGGCAGAATGCTCAGAGCATCACCAGGGTGGGCTTGTTGCTGTCCATGTCCCCATTCCCTCCAGAGAGACTCACTGCTTTGTGACACAGCTGCAGCATGGAAAGGTTTAAAAGACACAGTTGAACAACGTCAGTCTCAGCTTGTCAGAAATTATGGAAACTGCCTGTGCCTGTAGTTGGGACCGTTCTTTTTAGCTGCAAAAAGTCTGCTTCTTACCCTCACTGGCTGCTACAAGGTTCTCTGCCGACTCACCTGCCCTCCTGAGCCTCCCACAGCCTTGATTTAAAGGTTCCCAATTCCCCCAACCCTTCCCAGGTTGTGCCTACAGTCACTCAGTACAAGTCCCAGAACACTTCGTAAAGTCCTTGGCTTCTCCTCCACAGTAGGAAGTCACTGCTGGGGAATAAATTTCAAATCATTTATGAGTGTTCAGCAGCTGGGTGTCTAAGGCATTACATTACTAAGGACACAGTGCATGCAGAGCACTTCCTTTTTAGAAGAATTTGTGTGTGTGCATGCGAGTGTAGGTGTGTCAAATTTTTCAGTGACAGAATTTGGAAACATCAGTTAATCTTTACTCCTTTTATTTAGTCCAGTGCCCTAGGCCAGGCTCTGCACACCCTGTGCATTTCTGCCACACCCGGAGCTGCTCTGGCAGCGAGTCATAGCCCAGTCCCAGCATTCACACCGAGGAACTAATTGAAAGCAGTGAGTTTATACACAAACACAGCTACATGCATACAAAAATACATGCTCCACTTTAAAATCATATTTTTCAA